ACACAGGTATTACATAAGGATTGTGTGCCCTTATTGCCTCTAACACGAGTAAGTCTCTTGTTCCGAAACCCGACCTCGTCCTCGAAGCCTCCTTCGGCCGGCACCTGAAGCACCTGCCAAGGCTGAACGGGGAAGGAGGGGTTCCCACACGGTTTAGGGTTTAGGGTTTAGGGTTTAGGGGTTCTTCTGGAACAGAAAATTGAATATGAGAGGGCGTACGAGCATACAGGGCACATGTGGACATGTTAAAAGATGCAGTAGGGAATGGACATGAAATCCACCACATGAATGGACCTAAGGTTTGTGGCTTTTGGAAAAGAAATTGGAACTACTGCAGAATTTTAGGGCAACTCAAGTGGTAAAGCTGCTGAACAGACATGTTTGGGGATCCTATCCCTAAACTCTAGACCTAAACCATGAACTCTAAACCCCAAACCTAAACCATGAACCCTAAACCTTGACCGAGTGACCTTGATGGCCACCTCCGTCCCATCCTTCATTGTCCCTTTGTACCTCAGCCGCCGCAGTGCAGGTTGACAGGCGCCATGCAATCAGACTACTGCAGGGGGGCGAAATAGAACCAACATGATGTTGAGATCTATTCGGCGTTCTCTATGCCATAACGATGTCAGGAATCTAGGACCATAAGTTGGTAATTACTTAGGCTTCTACATCAATCGAAAACCGAAAACTACTATGTTTCTTTAGGTTTCGGGAGTCCCTCCTGGGGACTATAGATTGGGTGAAACCCCAACTCAGTAACCCGTACCATGAGGAGAGCATATTGCCAGTTAGCCATACGCTTGGAGTTCAGGGATAAGCCGGTTTCGGACGAGCATTTCAAGCAGAAATGCAGGGCGGCGTGTGCTCTTACTCTTACTATTCCTACCACCTTACTGTAAGCCCCTAGGTTCCCATGAGTTACACTGCTTTGGGGGCCCCGGGTGATGCAAGATTTCCTCCATCAACAGTATTACTCTTCTTTACTCTCACGATCAGTATGACTACTGACATCATTTTTCGTCCCACTCTCAATGACAGACTCTTACATCAACAAGAGGCTGAGCCGTCAATCCTAACTTAGCCCTGAATCCCCCAACCCAGCCTGAAGCCATGCGTTTAGTTGCAAGGTAGCTAGAACAGCTAAAACCTTAGCGAAGATGCATGTATAACCCCATGTCGGAAATCCCAATGCGGTCATCTTTGCGACAACCCAATGAGAAATGCGGTGGCTAAGTATAGGTTGCAACAACCACAGATCTTAAAGAATGGAAGCTTCTGCCCTAAACCCTAAACCCTAAACCCTAAACCCTAAATCCTAAACCCTAAACCCTAAACCCTAAACCACAAGACATTGCAGGGTATCGATTGCAGCGCCTTTCAAGGCTTACCAAGGGAACGCGGTTTAGGGTTTAGGGTTTAGGGCGGAAAAAGGCTCTAATAACCCGTCAACGAGCGTTCGTATACAAACCTCAACAATCCGTACCTCAAGCACAAGAAATCCCTGTGTCTCCCCTTCGGAGAGTGATACAAAGCACTCAGAAACTCACCCTGAAACCTCCTTCGCAGACGCACTCCATAAAGGATCCAAAAAAAGTGGAAGCCCCCAGAAGGACCCCATTGCAGAACCTGGGGGATTATGGCGAGCTTCCATTTTGGGGGATGCTTTCATCTTAAACCTTCAAACCCTAAAGCTGAACCGTAAACCCTAAAGCCCAAACCTTCAGCGGAATATTCAATCTTTGGTTCCTTTAGGGATCTGAAGCAGCACTTTGACTAATGCCTTAACCATCTCAAACCCTAAGCGTGACAGTATCCTAAACCCTAAGCCCTAAACCCTGAACATCCCTGAACCCTAAACTCTAAACCCTAAGCCCTAAACCCTATATTATCCCGTATAGGTAGTTTCCATATTCTGTTCCATTATCCCTGTTTTAACCCTGAATCAATCCTAGCGGCACTTTGCCGAAGGATCCAGAACCCAGAAGGCAAGATTTGTCGAAGTCTGAAGTGGCGCTTCGGAGGTCTTCCTCGCTGTACCTTTGCGAATTGGGGCCCCAGAGACTCTGGGGGTTTAGGGTTTTGGGTTACTTTTAGTTTGTAGTCGTAAGGATTAAATGTGGTGGTTATATAAGGAGTATATTCTGGGCATAGAGGGGTTATATGAGCCTCAAACTCAAAGACGTTAAGTTTGTAACATCATGGTTTGTTATCTCGGGCTCTGGGTCCCAATCAACCTAAGAAGGTGCTAAAATCCATGTCTGGGATCCTAACCCAACGGTACAAATTCCCCGAAAGTGTAGACCTTATCGCACTTATCATCCCTCCCTATGAAACCGGTTCCCCGCTTGAAGGGACCACCAGACTGTAAGACTAAAGCCTCAGCACGCAGGTACTTAGAGTCTCGGAACTTGGGGACCACATACCCTCTATAATAACCCATACCCTTGGCCCAAAATCGCCTACAGCAACTCTTCGGACCCGAACAAGAATTTGAAGTGTGGACTTGACATAGGTATTTATTATGGAGGTAAACTAGGGATTATATAAGGAGGATTTTGGGATTGTATTATAGAGGTAGGGTTTGGGGGATACTATCCCAATAAGGGGAGAATCGAATGCATGGAAAAAGGAAACGGACCATGAAATGGAAGGTGGCTTAAAGGGGTTTAAGGCGGATGGGCTCTACAGCAAATTTTCCTACATATGTTAATGGATATGGGTTACATATCTGGGACTAAGCTAGGGACTATACTAAACTACAAGAGGGACCCCTATATCTGCTGTTAAGGGTCCATAATAAAGAGAATATAGACAGCAACTCATATCTGTCATCGTAACAATTGGAGACTACAGGTTCTTGCCTCAAATTCAGCGAGCCCACACAAAGGCAATTACGACAAGCTGTACGTAGGAAGCGGGACCGTCCTCCTCGTGTATCCCGAAATAGTAGAACCCTTTTCCGTGAGGACTAATGCTTCATGGACAGAATTTACTGCCATGGTCCCTAAGGTTTGGACATATAGGGAATTCCCAACATTCAGGGTACCTTCCGGGGTGCCTAGAATAGGGATTCTAACATCTTGGGACCTATGTTAAAGTCCCGTATGTATGGAAACTACCGTATAGGCTCATGCAGACTTTCGTTGATGAACAGCATCACCATGCAACTTCTTCAGGAAACACCAAACCCTAAACCGTAAACCCTAAGCCTTCTCGCTAAACCCTAAACCCTGGGGTTTAGGGCTTAGGGGACCAAAATTGTTCCCAAAACTGCACTGACTCATCTTGGCTGCTCATTGTTGGCCTGGTTGAGGTGTGAATCCGTTCGAGGAGCGTCTCCGTTCAGGTACTCACCTCAAAGCACAATTTTGGTGTCCCTCGCACCTTCTACCCACGAGTTAACTTGCTGGTTCTTAGCAGGGAACAGGCGAATAGAATTTAGGGATTATATTCCCTTCTTGCCTACAAAGATTTAGTAGGTCCCAGCAAGTTTACCAAAATGTATTGGACCAAAGTAATCCGCCAAGGACTGCCCGAAACCTCAGCGACCCGACAGCAATTTTGACATTAGCAAATGACATGTAGGACACATAGGGTGAGCAAAACTAAGGATTTGCCCTTTTGGGGGTCTCCTACATACATCAAGGATCATCGAATATCATATTGGGGTCAACATAGGCGCCCCCCCCCCCTCAATTTTTCGAAATTCCCAAGTAGTGCTTGGAGTAGGCGAAAGGCACAAGTATCGCTTTATTGCATAACGAATACGCTGAAAGTAACTTACACTGCAATCATTCTCGTCATTGCCTTTCATACATGACGAGCTGCACTCAGTACTGTCTGCCATTGCAGGCATTATTTTGGCTATGCCCGGCAAGCCGACAAAGACCCTAAACCCTAAACCTTAAATAGTAGTTTCCACTTTCTTTTCCATCGTCCCAATAAACCCATATTACCCATAGTAGTTTCCATTTTCTTTTTCATTATCCCAACATAACCCCTATATTACCCCTATATTATGCAGGCACTTCAATACTAGCAGCCGATTAGCCTTGCTGCGGCCAGGTCACGCCATTTGTCGAGAAAATTGCCGAATTCCATTCAGGTCACCGAATCCACATGGGGATTTCCCGAAGTATGGTTGCCCGGTTGTCAGGTTTTGGATGGTTTTGAAGTTCATGGTGTGGAACACAGGGGCACAAGCATGGTTTGAAAGGCCGTGGCTTCTTATCGGTGCGGAAAAATGTTTGAAGTGAATAGATGAGTGGGTTGAAGGCTGTATTGGCTCTCGTGCAGGGTCAAGGAGTATCTACAGTTATTATTCGCATGGACCAACTAGAAAAGTGCGGTTGACCTCTGTTTTCGGTGAGCGAAAAGAATGAGGCCTGAATAAGTAGTATAGGGATTTAAAGGTATATTGTATAAGTGCACTTGGTACAGAATGACACAACTTTTAAAACATCCCAACTTTTCCATTAAGCGTGTCTGCATGTTGCTGGCACATCTGAAGCTGCCACGTGACACTTCATCGAGCCCAACAAGGTCGGCTACCGCAGCATGGATTTGGCGAGTTAGTGCTTGAAAATGCCTTGCCAAAAGAAACGACATCCTACATAGACCCTTAACACCAAAACAAAAAGGCAAGCATGCCGATCCGAATTTGGCTGTCTGGTCTATATACAGACACGAGTCGGAAGCACGATTTTGGCAACCGAAATGTGCAAAGGTACATTGACAGCGAGGTCACGGATTGGAGGGCCGTCAAATTTTCTTCCTACCAGCATGTTCTAACATCTTGATTGAAATTGAGGCGGCTACTATGGCCTCCATCACAGCCTCATAAATTGCATTATCACATATTCACAATCAGGAAGCTCTGGTAAATCAAGCATGCCAGCAAGCAGCTCATCACAGACTGCTTCAGAAGCAACGACTGCACTCCGAATAACCTTGGTTCAAATAATGCAACAACTTGAGATTCAATTTGCTCAATCCTTTTACTGCCACTTGATCTGTGCACCAGAAGATCCGCCATTATACACTGCAGGCTGCTCAGACCTTATGAATTGGATCAGGCCCAGGCACAATGTGGACGCTGCAGCAAATATTGCTGTGAAGGTTGACGCGAACAACGCCCACTTCAGTTCAACCACCAGTGCTGGTTTACGTGCAGATTCTTCCAACATTGCCAGCTTGTGCTCCAGCTTCCGCAGCATGTCAACCATATCACCATTAATGGCATCATGGCACTGAAGCATTGGTTGAACCGTGCCGGCAGAGATGTTGGCAGCCAGCATTGTGCTGCCATTTTGCCGGGTTTCAATCTCTGCTTCCTCTTTTGCAGCCTTGACGACAGGCGTGCAAAGCGCCACATCCACCACCAAAGGGACATGATCTGATCCCAATCCAGCAACAAGATTGCTTCTGGGTTGTGGCGGCGGGGCAGCCAACACACCTTCGCCACATGCAGACAAGGCCATTGTCAGGAATCAACATTTTGAATTTTAGGGTTACGGTCAGTGACAATATCACTATCAGTGCCATTGCTGAACCAGCGCGTGACCCATTCTTTGCATAGCACATATTCCTGCCAGCAAGACTCAAAAATGGCGGATTTGAAGCTCTTCACGGGTGCATGGGTATAAGGAATGGGCGAACCTTTCTTTGTTCACGCGTCGCCGACAAATCGTTTGAAACGGAATGGAGGGGGTCTTGTAAATATTGGGAAACTCCGAATTTATGGCTTCCTTACATGAATGTATGTGCAACAATAAAGAATCATCGACGTCCATGCTGAAAATTGTATCTTTGTTCCGGAGTCTCATGCTAGCGTCCAAATGCCAGGCTTGCTGTCGTGAACGGCAACCGATAAAACCGTAAACCATGACAATAATGCAATTTGCTCACAATCCTGCCTGTGACTGCTAATCTTGCCGCGCGTGCATGGTCAGGTCGGCGTTGCGCAGGGACGTAAAACCTGCGCAGCAATCTTTGAAGACCTACACTCTACGCAGGTCATACAATCCGGGGCCGATTTCACAAGCCATGGGTGCAAACTTCCATCTCAAGCACATGACCCACATGCATTGCATTGCCCGAGGTCCTGACACGAAATCCAAAGTCTCGCCTGCCGTTGTTGCTGGTTCCACCCCAAGCACTTGCCCGTAGGCACTGATCATTTGATGCCGCAACCACGTTGACGTGATCATGTCGTACACTGGTCCTGGGTGCTTGCATGCATCTTTCGTGAGATGACCTAAGCTTATGCATGGCACGCCCGCACTCTGTGCACGTAGCTTGGGCATGGGGCATCATCCGAACTCAGCGGGTTCTGCGTGATTCTGACAGGTGCTCGCATGGCATGTGGGTGCAAGCTCCAGAAAAAGAAATGAAAAAGGTAATGCGACATGCACGCGACAACGTAACACCGCGAAGACAGGTGTCAAAAAGTCATGCACATGCCATCAGATGCCAAGCCACCCCCGTCAAGGATCAGGGACCCGGGTGTTAAGACGTAAAGTACGATGCCTGAAAGTGACGACGCCACATGAAGCCACAAAAACATTAAGAAACATATATCCTTGCAATCGGGTGAGTCGTGCGGCTTCGCAACGGGCAAGCGGAAACATGCGTAAACAACAAATGCAGCTCGAATTACATCATGGCAACACCATTTTGCCATTTCGAATGCTGAAGTAAACTTTGTTCATTCGCAAAAAGGGAAATCTTGATTGCATGCAGTGGATAACCATCCCACTCAGCCAGTGTCCTGCCAATATTTGTGATGGATGAAAGCCAGCTGCCTTGATGGCGGCCACAATGAAGCCCACCGAATCTGATCCCAGCACGCCCTTCGTCAAGAGTTCGTACCTTGGCACCAATGACAAGAAGGCATAAACAGTACACTAATGTGTGCAAGTTCGGATGGTGTCGCCAAACTGGAAACCACAAATGTTCGCAAACATCAATTGCAGCCGGGCGCATGCAGCACACAGCTGCGCATTATTTGTATCACGTTCGCGTCAGTTGCCCGATGCACAATCGTTCCACGCAACATTTCGGTGACTTGCTTCCAAGAAAATACAATGCATGCTGCAATTTCGCAATTGCAACCGCCCATGCAAGTGAAGACGCCTGCCGGCCGACGCAAATGTTTATTTGAAGGGTGGGTGGGCAAAGCAGGGACCCTTGCAGCTCCGGTTTGGCAAAACTTCGTCGTTTTTTTCCGAAAACCTGTGCGTCCTTGCGATGTAGCCACAATGACCTCGCCTTGCACGGGATGGAGACGTCAAGGCCGTCGAAATTCGTTGCGATTGCTTCTAACGCGAGCACAACATGCCTCTACACCCCTGGAACGGACAGAATTGCACATCTGGGCGACACATTGGGGCACAGGGAACCTCCCGCCTAGCTTGCTCGAACAACTCCAGGATCCAGGCGCTACGTCACCGTTTCTGTTCCTGTCTGCTTCGTGCCAACCATTCGTTCTGATGAAACAACCTTCCTGCGGACTGGTACATGTTGGCGCATGCTTTGCCACAACGTGGTGTTGCGTAGCGTGAACCGATGCGCAACCACGCAGAAACATCCCGATCATCCCCCGTATCTCATGGGGGTGAGGATTGGACGCCAAACTTATACAGAATGCTGTTCATAAAATGAGTGAAGAAGGTTCCCGGAAAAAAAAACCTGTAAAATGACCGTCGAAGATCAACAACAACAACAACAACAACNNCAACATCAACATCAACATCAACAACAACATGACACATGATTGAGCCGCCCCCGTCTCTACAAAACGCCACACTGCCGCACGTCCTTTAACGTTACCAAAAAAGAACGCCACGCGGAACCCGAACAAAATCGTGATGGTTCATGGCACCATGAATGCTCCAGGGCGCTGCTTGATGCATAGCACAATGTAAAACATTGTAAAAAATGTAAAAAAATGTGTTCTTACGTAATGCAAGCTTGGTTTGAATTGTTCATGCTTTGCCGAAATACACGCGATCCTTTGTCGTGGCCTGTCCCGCCTGCTGCCTTCGTCCTCAAGGATCTAAACGAATTCTATGAAATTGCTGTGGACTTTGACAGAACGCATATAATACGTCAAACATATATATATATATATGAGTTCCGTGGTCCGTGTTCTGGGGGGGAAGGGCAACCATGACTTTCCTGATGGTGGTCGTTTGCCTGATGGTTTGCCCATAATTTGCCTCACATCTTTTGCCTGCTCGCTTTCTTCCAAAAAAATTCCCGGACAAAAAAACTACGTGAAACGGACGAAACAGCAGTGGATAACGCTTGTGAACAATTCAATGTTCTGATTGCTGGGATACTCCAGAGACTACCCCCCACCTACAAGCCACGGGCCGCGCCGCCAGGGCCTCAGTGCAGTCCTTGACGGCTCGCGGGCAAAATGTTTTCTTTGAAGGGGTCGGGCGGGGTGTCTGGGGGCAGGGTTTTGATATCCCATAAGGTTGGCCACTTCCCAAACCATCCGTCATGTTTTTTTCACGTTTCTTAATGTTTCCTCGTTGTTTCCTTCATTGTCTCTTTCTTCATTTTCCTTCATTTTTCCTTATTTGTCTTCAGTTTCGGTGTTTGCTTTTTTTTGTTCATAGCCCTGTCCCCTTGTACTGGATTGCCCCAAGGGGAAGCCGGAAGCCACCACCGTCAGTTCTGAATGTGTGGGTCTCGTAGTTAAAAAATCCCAGGTAAGCAATATTTGATTTGGGGATGTTATATTCCCCAATACAGAGAAAGATTCTATCCCCTTTGTGAGTGCGCATGGTATCTCATAAGAAGAATATGAGCTATAATTAGTCTAAACTCCTTAGAGGGGTTACATGGGGGAGTAATTATTATAGATCTTATTAAGGAAGATACTAGGAGTTTAGGCTATAGATCACAAATAGCTCTACGCACTCCAACTTCCCCAAAGACGCCAGTCAGGTTGGCACTTGGCGCTACATGGCTCCCGAGGTTGTACGCACCTGGGTTCTGGAAGATGACGAAAGATGGCTTACGAGTTTGTACGATTTGTGGCTGATTTTTGGGATCTCCTAACCACGCTCCTCCCCCCAAACTACCCCTCCTTAGGTCCCCCCTCATCCCTGAAGAAGCCTAATTAAAGTGGGGGGGTGACGTTGCACGGGGTATGTAAACGGGGCCTTTTAGGTCGCCGAGCTGGGGGTCTACCTAGACTCCCCCGAAGAAAATATCCACGATTAAGACCTACACGTGCTGTAGTCTAAACTCCTTAAAAGTGGTTATTTAGGAGATAATATAGGGGAGATTAGGGGAGCATTTTAGGGGTTATTAAGGGTGATACTAGGAGGTTAGGCTATAGCTCACATAGACACACTTCGAGGGTGTGTTGGGGGATCTTACGAGTTCGGGTTGAGCACGCGGGCATGAAATTCCTAAACACTGAATCCTAAGTCTTTACGCGATTGAGGTTGACAATTTTTGGCGGGTCCATGCGAAGGAAAAGTCTTCAGGGCTTCCATATACGCATATACACACACACGATCTATATGGGCACTCCGACCCCCATGATCTACCTCAGCGTTTTTCTATGATAGCAAAACCATAAACTTCTTTAAGGGGGGCTATATAAGGGATTATATAGGAGACTCATATACGGGTTATGAAGAGTTTAGACAATAGCTCATATGGACTAGAACCAGTTCGCAAATCAGGAATCCAGGATCCTGGCAACTAGGTATAGGGTTTACGGCTTATTGAGCTCGATGAGGGCTTTATCTGCCCCAGCCCTGAATACCTACACTTGGAACATGCAAAATCCAAAAAACGTGGCCGGATTCCCGTCTTTTTTGATTTTGGATGTCGTAAGTTTTTTGCAGCTGTTGAAATAGAAGCAAACAATCCCATGTCTTTCATGACTTTCAGGTTTCACTGGTTCAAAAGCCGGTTGTTTCCGAGTTCTTTTGGAGCTTCAACGAGACTACAGAAGCAATGTTGTTAGGTTCGGCTGGAAAATGCGGTATTTGCGAGTGGATTTTTGGCTGTATGATATGCATATGCATATGCAGATAGAGTTTAGGGCTTAGGGTTTGCAATCTAGGGTTTGGGGCGAGACGCTCGCAAACATGTGAACTTGCAAACATTTGAACTTCTTGAGATGGTCCCTGCGTAGTCCCGAACAAGCCACATACCTCCCCAAAACCCGCACTACCATAACTAGTACGATCCCAAATGCCAAGTGATTTTGGGTGCTCGGACTCTTAACATTGTTCATCCCTATATAGCCAGGAACGCTGAACCGTAAACCCTAAAACCCCATCCCTTAGAGGATCCCATTTTAGGTATCTGGACCCTGATAACATTTGCGCGGCCTTGCAGCAAAGTACTGTAAAATCCCATCATTCAGCCTGCCCGGTACAAAGACCAGATGATGATTCCTACCGTGTATGTAGGATTTAGGGTCCAGGCCTTAAATTAGGGGGGTCCTAAATCGTAAGTCTGACCCCTCAAGTCCTTTGTAGAAAGGATCCACGTAGTATGCTTGAGGACCAAACTGGTTCATATACTGAGTAACCAAATTTGGGGTACATGCGGATCTTCTTTTCTTTTCCTATCTGCTCAAAGGGGACCATAAACCTGAGAGTTTCGAGCAAAAGCTACCAGCAGTACACCGACCGTGTTGACATTTACTCCCTGAGCCTGATCGTCGCTCATCTGAAGGTTGACCTCGGTGTTTTTGTGGGTTCCGGTCGTCAGCAAAAGTTGTAGGAGTTCCGTGTCCGCTTAAGCTCAAACCTTCACGTCTTGAAGCTCACAGAATATCTTACTGGTGCTTAGTAGGAAAAAAAAAGAATATCATCCCTCCGGGCATGGCGCCCATTACGCCGCCTCCGCCTGCGAAAGGAGCTACAGCAGCCCCTCCTCCAAAGAAGGCTGCGGCACCAAGGTCAAGGCCACCGTGGCGCTCCCAGCACGCAGAGCATGTCGACAATGTCGATCCGGCGACCGGCCGCACGATCAAGATGCCTCCGCCGCCGTGGAAGGCTACAATCATGCGAGACCTTCCACCATGGAAGAAAAGGTAAAGAAGAGGTCTACCCCAACAACAAGGAGTTGATCAAGGACAAGAAAAACAACGACCTCTACTACCAGAGAAGGAAAGAGAAGTACTACCTCAACAAGTTGACCAGGGACAAGGACAACAACCACGTGCCCATGGCGGCATCCAAAGTCCAAGGCTCTGATTATATGCGGGCAGCAGTCCAAGTCCTCCAAGTCCAAGGCTCACTGCTCAGGCCGCAGCGGGAGGCGCCTGGCAACTGGGGGAAGGCTGGCGGCAGGGTCCTCAGCGAGGAGATCGCTGAGTTCAAGTGCGGCGGCATCAACGTTGGCTGTGTTGGCCAATGGAAGGGACAGAAGGCTGGCCGCGACGGCTCGGGCTGCGGCGAAGAAGAGAAGGTCAGAACGGCGAAACACACATGTTGCCATGGCGCCGGCACGGAGCAGGGATGGCATTGGAAGCCGTCCAGGCACAGATGCACTCTGGCGAGCATGTGCTGGCCTTACGTGACTTCTCAACCACCTCGCATCGCGCATCTTCTAGATACGCTTGAGCACCACCCGCTCGCTCAGGCGCACATCCGCTTCAACCCTTCCAAAACCATTGTGTGGAATGCCGGAAGCATCCGGCCCGGTGCCTTCCCCTGCGCGCCGGATGGCACGTGTGTCTAGATTAAATTGGGAATCCCGCGCCAACTGGGCCGGCTGCCGCCTCCTGGAGAGCTCCTAAGCATGGTGAAGCGCAGGACAGACCCTGCGACTGGCGAGCGGCGGTCCCCAACAAGACGGGGTCGACTCGAGCAGGCCCGGGGAAGAGG